TCTCTCTCTCTCTCTCTCTCTCTCTCTCTCTCTCTCTCTCTCTCTCTGTATGTGTGTGTGTGTGTGTATGTGTACATGGGCATGTACACACGTGTCTTGGGGATGTGTGCACAAGGTTGCAATGACCACAGACACCATAGGCATTGGATCTTCTGGAGTTAAAGGCCTTTGCGAGCCACCTGACATGGGTGCTGGGACTTAAGCTTGGTCTCTGAAGAGCAGTTATATGCTTTTAACTGGTGAGCCATCTCTCCAACCCAAGAGAGGCTTACTGTTAACAACTGCAGTTAATGGTTAATCTGTCAGGTCTCCCATAGCTGGGATTGGAACTGCAAGGCTGGACAGCACCCACTTGAGCTTAGAGAGGGTCTTTAGCCATAAATATTAGAAAGCTCTACAGAAAAGATGACTTAAAGTTAACAGACAAAGTAAGGACACCGGAGGCTCAGCTCCGTACCTGGAGCAGGTCTAATGTCTAGCCCCTCCATTCCTACCTTGGCTTAGGAAATGGCTACAGACCAGAGAACTTCGAGGTATAAGGCTCTCAGCCACCAAGTGTCACTGAAAGAGGCTTGACTGTGGAGCCTGTGAGTCCACTGCCATCTGAGGGAGGAGCTGGGAGAACCTTTAATAGAGGGACTACTTCCAAAACTGCGGGTAGGCTCCAGGAAAGGAACAAAAAGGCAGCAAAGTACTAGGAGCCAGTAACCCAGTGAACCCTGCTGGGCTTCCTGGAGAAAGGTATCATCCAGGGGGACAATTTGGGAAGGAAGCTGGGGACATAGCCCCAACTTCTAGCTGTTGTCTCCCACTGGCCAACCCCAGAGCCACAACCCAGAGCAAGGGAGCAGGAGAAAGTGGGAGACTGAGGCAGAAAGAATGTTCCATCACTGTGTCTACAGTCCAAAAGTTTTGGTGGTGGTAGTTGGTTGGTTGGGTTTGGAGTTTTGTATTTTGTTTTGTATTGGCTTTGGGGCAGGATCCTCAGTAGTTTTTATCCCCGACCTTGACATCAGGGAAGGGTGGTAATAGACTAGTTCCACTGTCCTCTTCCAGGTTCTATCATGGAGAACAGGGTGAGTTCTTCTAGCACAGCTTTCAAACCCCAGCAGTCTCTGACTCCCACCACCAGCGTTCAGCTGGATGAAGGGCTCGCAGCCAGCACTGCCGTCGCTGCAGAGATCCTGAAGCAGGAGTGTGACTCCTTGGGGCCTCCGATGGCCAGTAGCTCCAAGCCTTCTTCGTCCTCATCCTCCAGTGCCCAGGTTCTTGCATGGTCTGGGCAGCCCCAGGATCTACACATAGTCCTGCCTCCTGTGGTGATCTTATCCAAAGCCGCATACAGCCTGCTGGGATCCCAGAAGGGCAGCAGGCTGCCACCCTCCACCTCCTTGCTGCCCCATGCTGATGTGGCCTGGGTGAGCTCCCTGCGGCCAAGCCTGCACAAGGACATGAGCCCCGAGGAGCAGTCCCTTTATTACCGCCAGTGGACCTCAGCCCGGCAGCACCACGCTGACTACAGCAACCAGCCAGACCCCATCTCAGGCGCGCAAACCTTGCACCCGAGGCGGCTGCTGCTCACTGGGCCCCCCCAGGTAGGGATAGAACAGGGTGGACCCTGTCTTGGCTGTCAGGGGACATCTTGGGAGTGGGCAGGGGTGACAGAAGACCTCTTCAGACCTCAGCTGAAGAGCCAAAGTGTGAAAGAAATCTCTTTTCTTTTTCCTTCCTCCACCCTTCCTCAATGGAAAACATCTCCATCAGGTGGGAAAGACTGGCTCCTATTTACAGTTCCTTAGGATCCTTTTCCGAATGCTCATCCGGCTGCTGGAGGTAGATGTGTATGATGAGGAAGAGATAAACACAGGTGAGGCTATGACCAAGACATGAGACCCAAGAGATAAACACAGGTGAGGCTGTGACCAAGGCATGAGACCCAAGAGCCAGGGTTGCTTCACCCTCTGGTATCTAGGGCACCTAAGCTGCAAAGCTGTTGTGGGCATGAAGACAAGATGCCCAGCAAGTAATTCCAAGTGAGCTGTGGCTCTCAGCTTTGGGGGCCTCTCCAGTGTGCAGCCAGCTGAGTTTCATACAGCTTTGGTAGGTTCATTGCCTAGACAGGTAAGCCCTGTGGTTCTTGCCAGATCTGCCCCGTGCTTCCTGGCATCACATCCTTTGATTTTACCCAAGATGTGGCTACAGAAGTCACGTGATCTCCCCCTGGTGGGCCAAGGCATTCTCTGTCTCTTCCTATCCAGTATGCTTAGACTGCAAAGAAAATGCCAACTGCAACTCAAGGTAGAACTCTGGGCAAAAATCAAATGTCATTTATATTAAAAACGTAATAGCTATACTCTAGTCTTGGGCTTTTTCCCAATGTAGTTCATGCTACATTAGAAATTTATGCCGGGCGGTGGTGGCACACGCCCTTAATCCCAGCACTTGGGAGGCAGAGGCAGGCAGATTTCTGAGTTTGAGGCCAGCCTGGTCTACAGAGTGAGTTCCAGGACAGCCAGGGCTATACAGAGAAACCCTGTCTCGAAAAAACCAAAAAAAAAAAAAAACCCAGAAATTTATTACATGTTATTGTACACATGTGTATGGAAGGGGTGCATGGCCATGGGCATGTGTTGAGGAGAGAGGACAGCTTTTGGGTGTCCATTTTCTTTTTCCACCACATGGGTCCTCTACTCAGGTCACTAAGCTGGCAGCAAAGCACCTGGACCTCCTGAGCTAGCATCAACTACAGTTTGAACTTACATATTAATAATGAATATCATCTATTGGGCATATGCTATGTGCCTACTACCACTGTCTTAGCACCTTGACTCTCCCATCCCTAATGTCTCTGAGACCTACAAGAACCTGGTACTTTGAGGGGTTAAGTTTGTGCCTAGAGGAGTGATCACTAAGGGGTGGGACAAGATTCAAGCTCTGGAAATGCCCAAAGGCTGGCACTGGCACCTGGGTAAAGATTTTGTCTTCACTGCTCTTGGAGTCCTGTGAGGGGGGGCGGGAGGAAATGAGTATGTGCTGGAGTATGGAGCACTTAGTAGGTATATTGTAGCACATACACTGGAACTATGTTCACTGCATCGTAACACGTCAGGCAGCTTCCGGCTGTAACCCCAGCTAAGGCAGGAGGGAGACGCCATCAAGGCTTGCCTGGGCTCTAGCACAGACCCAAGCTGAATCTGGTCAACCTAGTGAGAATGTGCATTAGTCAGCATTCTCTAGAAGCACAGAACTGATAGAGTAACTCTATACATATTAAAATGGGATATATTTGAGTGGCTTACAGGCTGCGGCCTGTCCAGTGCAACAGTGGCTCTCCTGATGGAAAGGCCAAGAATTTGTAAGTTGTTCAGTCCACCAGGCTGGATATCTCTGCTGATCTTTGGTCTACATTGGAATTCCAAAAAAAAGTAGGTAATAATGCCTTAGCAGATGAATAGAAGAACTTGCTAGCAAGAGTGAGGACAATCAGACAAAAAGAAAAAGATTCCCTCTTCCATGTCCTTTGCTAACTGGCATGGCCCAGATTTAAAGTGGGTCTTCTGACTTCAAACGATTCAGTCAAAAAAATTCTTCACAGGTATGCCCAGCTACATGAGTTTTAGTTGATTTCAGATGTGGTCAAATTGACACCCAAGATTAGCCATCCTTGTCTCCAGTTTTTATAGAAAGTCGGGGCCATGGCTCAATGGTGAGGTTTCTTGCCTGGGATGTGTGATGCTGCCTGCTCAGCTCCGGCTATTGAGAAAAAACAATAACCAAATTATCCAGGGCATCAGTGCTTTAAACCCTACACTAACCCTGAGAATTGTGGTCACCTGTATAAGTATGTTTTTAAAGAGAGTTGGCACACTAATCTAATGGCATTGGAGTTTGTGAACTAGACATGTAGAAACTAACTCAGGGCCAGTGAGGGAAAATCCTCTTCCCAGTTACATCTGAAGGAATCATTTTGGTTCCTTCTGCTCTGGCATAAGAGAGTTCCTTTCTCAGAAATGCCTCCCTGGGCTTTGTGCTTCAGGATGGAGGTGATGGAGGTATTTACTTAAACAGGTAAATATACCCATTCAGGGTGGTGGTGAGGAGGGAAGGAGGTGGGCCCATCTGTTTTGTGACCTGCCCTGCCCTAGATCACAGTGATAACAGCGAACTGAGCCAGTCAGAGGGAGAGCCCTGGCCTGACATCGAGACCTTCAGCAAAATGCCTTTCGACATCAGTGTGCACGATCCCAAGTACAATATGATGAGCCTGGTCTACAGCGAGAAGCTGGCTGGGATCAAACAAGGTCAGTCTTGCAGAGTCAGGTTTGGCTATGTGGAGGTCAAGGGAACTCTAAATTGGTACTTGAGGTGGGCCAGGAACACAGTACACTCCTTTAAGAAGAGCATAATAATTCTGTTTTTCACTCTTACACATGAACATACACACACATACATCTTGATTTTTAAACTTGCTTGTCAGGGCTCAAGTTACATAGTCCTTTGAAAAGTCTTTATGAGAAGTGAGCATTTCTTTCCAAGCTTCATGTATGTGTCATGGGGATAACCGTTACTCCTCCTCTCTTTATGTGCAGAAGTAATAAAGGAATACAAAGTTGAGGAGCCCCGGAAACGAGAAACCATGTCTATGATGCTGACCCAGTATGCAGCCTACAATACCTTCCACCACTGTGAACAGTGCCACCAGTACATGGACTTCACCCCCGCCTCCCAGGTGCAGCCTCTGCCCTTGACTGCCAGCTCTGTTGCCCGTGTGGACCCTGTCAGTGAGGTGGAGAGGGTCGGTGAAACCTGAGACTCCTGGCTTCAGGCCCCAGAGAAACTCTACTGCCACTCAGCACATGTCTCCTCCCCGTCTTCCCCCTGGTACAGGAGCTCTCTGTTTAGGCTGGCCTCGAACTCACAACCCTCCAGCACACTGAATGGAATTACAGGCATGACAAACATGCCTGGTTTTATTTTCTCCTACTTTGGGTGTTAGATATATGTATATCCCAGGGCCTCCCATGTGACAACACATTGTCTAGCACTCCCAGCCCTTAGGCATCTTTTTGCCTAGTGTATCTTTATGCACAGAAGGAGAAACAGTACCACGTTATTTCCCCATGTCCCCATTTCTCTCCTTGAGCTTTATGTCTTGGCACTGAGCACCTGAGACCCTGTTGCTTCAAGGCTGTGCTAAGCAAATTCCCCAAACCTGGTTCTCAGGACCATCCTCCCCCCTCTCCTGCCCCTTAAAAAGCATATTCTGAAATTAAATAGACACTAGATAGAAAGAATGCATTGAAAACTAGGTTACAAGTTAACTGTTTATCTGTTGCATCCGTTTGTTTCTTGGTGGGTTAACTAGTCTGCTGACAATTTTTTACATTGTGTATGTGTGTAGGAGCTAGTTCCCTCACTACATCATTGTGGGCTGTGGAGCCCAGAACACCAGGCCCTTTCCCTGAGGAGCCGCCCCACTGGCTCTGGTTACAATTCTTTGAAGGATATAGAAGACACAAGTGCCTTGACCCATGAATTTAGAAATTTTGTGAATGAAAACCCCTTTTGACATTTCTGTGTGATTACAATACAAATGCAGTATCTCCATATTTGTGATGTAGAACAAACTAGAATTTGGAGAGGGAAACTATTTTTCTGAAATATAATATCTAGGTTAAAACTATTAGGAAACCTTTGATTTTAAGTGCTGATGAAAATTTGTTATCCTTCCATTAAACCAATTATTGGCTTCACTGTATAGCCCATAAAGACCCATTTTATAATTATTCATGGGGATGGGTTCCTGAGCATGTGAACTTCCCAAGAACTTTACAGACAGGTTGGATTTATTCTTGGCTTTCATGAATTACATGGTCTTTCCCTGATGTCAGAGTTATGCACTAAATGTTAGAATCCCTACATCCTTCATTGTAACCAGAAAAAAAATGGTGCCACAGGCACATTTTTAACTCTAGCCCTACTATCTAAGAGCTGATACTTAAAGTGTTCAGTCTGACTCACAGCAGAACTGTCCTGTAACTGGTGTCTGGAGAAGGTATGTAGCAGAGCAACCCAGAGATGTTTGTCTTTAAGACTGAACATTTTTCCTAAGGGTATATAGAATACAGGCAGTGCTGATGGGCCTTACTCTGGGAAATTCTTTGTTGGGGCTGCATAGTTGGCTCCTGCACCAGGGACAGCTAGTAGATGCTAAAGCCTTTTACATGTTGTCCTCACAGCCAGAATGTCTGGTGGCACTTATTCATGTCAGTTACTTGTGTCAAAAATCTAAAAGAATGGCCTGGATGTTTGGAAACACATACTGACCTCCCTCTCTCCTCTTTGCAAATCTAGATGTCTGACCCCACCCTTCACGCATTCACATTCTCCTCTTCTATGCTGGGAGAAGAAGTCCAGCTGTATTTCATCATCCCTAAGTCCAAAGAGAGTCACTTTGTCTTCAGCAAGCAGGGCAGACATCTGGAGAGCATGCGGCTGCCCCTGGTTTCTGACAAGGTGGGCAGGGTGTTGGGTGTGAGGGCTTTGAGCCCTGGGTGGAGGTTCTCGGAGCTGCCAGCATCGAAGGGTTTACTTTCCCATTGTGTCTCATTTTTTCCTTTTCACAGAATCTAAATGCAGTCAAGAGCCCTATTTTCACTCCTTCCAGTGGTCGCCATGAGCATGGACTCCTAAACCTTTTCCATGCCATGGAGGGCATCAGCCACCTTCACCTCCTGGTAGTCAAAGAATATGAGATGCCACTATACCGAAAATACTGGCCCAACCACATCATGCTGGTGCTTCCTGGCATGTTCAATAACGCAGGCATGGGTAAGAGTGCCCTTGGGGTGGGAGAAGGGCTGAGAAGACAAACTGAACTCCATTTTCTTCCAGAGGTTACCTTTGGGAATTGCCCTGCCCTGTGACCAGAGGGTTTTTGGGTTTTTTTGTTTTGTTTTGTTTTTTCGAGACAGGGTTTCTCTGTGTAGTCCTGGCTGTCCTGAAACTCACTCTGCAGACCAGACTCAGAAATCCACCTGCCTCTGCCTCCCAAGTGCGACCAGAGGTCTTTTAACTCTGAGTTCTTCCCTCTCCTGTTCTATAATTTTACATCCTCTAACATTTTTTTGCTCAGTTTTTCAAAATGTTTAACTTCTGAAGACTAGTAAGGACTAAATCACTGTAATATTGACCACCTTTGAGGAGGGTTAGGGAAGCCTTCTTAGTGTAGACATTCTAGGGCCAAAATGTATCCATGAGAAGAGACATGTCCTTACCATGGGCGGTGATGATTTAAAGGGTCCCTCCACTGTGTCCTGCTAGGGACACAAGGCAAGTTCTAGTCTTGTCAAGATATCTACCTGTGATACGGTGCAAGTGTCAGGCAGGCTCAACCCTGCTTTTTCACAGGAAAAAGAACATCAAGACACTCTCCCAGAGAGGAGCATCACCTGTTGAGCATGGGCACTAGGGTGTCTAGATCACCTCATTTCACACACAGGAAACTTTTAACTGAACCGGTGTTTCAGAGCCATACCCTTCTGGGTACTTCCTGTACTGCAGTATTTAAGTTTTTCCCATTTGTTTCTGTCAGTGTCTGAGGTGGTCCTTAACTATGATTTCAATTTGCAGTTCCGTAATGACTTGTGACTGTAATCTTCCTCTCACCTCAATGCTGGGCATTGAAGTTCAGGCCTCTGAGATGCTTTAAGTGATTTCCTGCCTCAGTCACCTACGCAGTTAATACTGCAGCACGTGCCACAAAGCATGCGTACTGAGCACTCCCATGTGTTTAGGCTGTGTCTTCTTTAGAAAAATGTCTTCCAACATCCTCTATTCATTTCTTCACCTGGATCACTGTTAATTTATAGAGGTCTTTTATATTTCAATATTAACTCAGAAGATGTCATTTTATATCTTTACCCATTCCAATGTTAATAATGCCCTTGATGTCCTAAGTTCTTAGTTTTGATGGAGTCCCATTTGTCTCTTTCACTTGCTGAATGTTGTCCCTACACACAGACCACTGTGAATTTCTCTGTCATTACTCTGTACTTTGTTTCTTTCTAAATGCTCTATCATGCTAGCTTTTGCTTTAGTCACTGGAGCATTTTAATTAATTTCTCATGCGATAAGGACACAATTTCATTTTTTCATGTGGCTATCAGATGCTCCAGAACTGTTATTGAGAAGAGTTCTTCTCCACTGAAGGGCATTGGCACCCTTGTCATATATGTTTATTTCAGGACTCTCTATATCTGTCTTTATGTCACTAGCACACGACTTTAAGTTTCAAAAGGAAGAAGTATAATACCTGGAACTTTAAAAATGTACACATATTTGCATACTTGTATGGTCTATGATAATGTACGTAATGTAGAATAATCAAATCAAGAGTATATGCACTTCCTTTAGGAATCACTTTTATGTGTTGGGACTTTTGTATTCTTACAGTCATTTTGAAGTATATCATGTGTTGTTTTAAAGTAACTTAATCCATTATTCTATAGGAAACTATAATTAACCCCTCCTTTTTGGTGCTCTTTACTGGACTGACTTTCATTCCTTCCTCCTGCACCCCCCAAGTCTTTACTGACCATCTTCCACTAAATTCTTCTTTCTCACTGGATTCACTTATACAAAAACCTCCCAGTTCATTCATGTTTCTTTAAGTATAAAGAGACAAAACTAATGGGGTCAACCTAAATTCCCATCGATAAAGACAATATGAGAACACAAGATATTTTTTGGCCATAATAAGAATGGAATCCTAAGTCTGCCAGACTTAGGATTTTTGTTGTTTGCTTTTTGTTTTTTTAAGACAGCTACTTGCTCTATAGACCAGGCTGTCCTTAAACTCAGAAATCCACCTTCCTCTGCTTCCAAGTGCTGAGATTAAAGCATGTGCCACTACTCCCTGGCTTCATTTTATTTATTTATTTTTTTAATTTCATGTGCGTTGGTATTTTACCTGCATTTATGTCTGTGTGAGGGTGTTGGATACTCTAGAACTGGAGTTTTATAGATAAGCGTGAGCTGCCTTGTGGGCGCTAAGAACTGAACCTGGGTCCTCAGGAAGAACAACTAGTGTTCTTAACCACTGAACCATCTCTCCAGCCTACTTTTTTTTTTTTACAAGCCATTTTTGTTGTTGTTCATTTCCTGCATTTGAAGTACTTGATGACATCCTTCGCCGGACATTCCTTGCCTCAGTCCTATAAAAAAAATCTATACGCTGTTTACCATTTTTAAGATTAAATTCTTAAAACTAATTAAAATAAAATTTTAACTGGAAGTTTATACAAATGATTTCCAACGTCACAATATTGTAGCCATTTTGAAGGAGCTGGAAGACTTTAGTCATTCTTTAGGCTCACAATATGCCATCACTATTACCAGATTCTTCAAAAGTTCTGAAGAAATACATCCAGATGGGCAGACTAATTGGCAGACTTAGGATTCCATTCTTATTATGGCCAAAAAATATCTTGTGTTCTCATATTGTCTTTATCGATGGGAATTTAGGTTGATCCCATTAGTGAAGATGGGAACAGACATGAGACTTCAGTAAAATGGTTCTCTCTTGGAAATACACCACCCAGTGGACTTGCTGAATCAAATGGTACTTCCAGTTTCAGTTGCTTTAGAACTCTGCACATTTTCTATAATAGCTGCTACATCCACATGTATGAGGCCCTTTCCCTCTGCACCCTTGTCAGCATGGCTGAAAACCAATTCTTGTACCAGCACTCATCTGTCTCTTTCTCTCTCTGATTTTTCTCAGGGCCTTCTCTGACCTTTTTCATGCTCTCTTTAACCCTCCCTGTCTTGTCTATGTAAAGGCAACATTCTTCTTTAAGGGCTGTACACAATCAAGAGCTGTACACAGCCTTTTCTATTGTAAAAGAGTAAATCAAATCCAGTAAGGATCTTTGCGATTTTTGGAGGTTTCTTCAGACAGCAAAACGAGGAATTTCTTCAGATTAGTGATGTCAATCTCTAGCTGTTTGATGTTCTTGTCAATGACCCTTCAAAGGTCTGAGTAGTATAAGTTCGGAGGCCACCATGTGGATTAGAACTTCTAACAGCAGACATCATGGGTGATTCATTTTTACCTAGAAAGGAAAAAGAAGGGAATTCTCAGGGAGAGTTCTCTTCCCTGGATGTAAATTGTTATTCATTTTATTTATGGTTGGGCCTGGCTTTGTGGAGGTATCTATTTATTTCATTAATCTTTTTGGTAGCTGGTTAGCTTTGCCTTCTGTGGTATCAGACAGACATAGCAATCCTCGGCCCCGTAAGAGAACTGGGTCTGGGCCATTCCCTTTAAGGGTAAGAGGGTCCTTCCACATATCTGTGGCATAGTTTTTATTAATCTCGTTGAGGCTAGAGGCAGTCAGCAGCAGATTTGCCATGAGCTTTCAGTTTTAGAGAGTTAAAAGTGAACAAGGCATGATGGAGAGTATTTAAGGGGGACTCCTTCTGGGGGGGGGGTACCATTCCCCCTCTTTTGTTTTTAAAGCCAATTTTTCAGAGTTCTTGTAAAATCAGTGCCCGTTTCTTGAAGCTTCACAAGTATTGCTGCCACTCTCCACTGTTCTTCTCTGGAAGAACAGTTGGTGCTCTTAACCACTGAGCCATCTCTCCAGCCCATCTTACTGTTTCCTAATTCAGTTCACTTTCCCTTACTTGCCTACTTGCTCTGGCTAGGACTTCTAGTCCTATCGAGTGGACACAGGCATCGTTTTCTTGTTCCTGATGCTAGCTGGAAAACCTTTGGTCTTTCACCACTGACTGCCATATTAGCTATCAATGTTTCCTGTGTGATCTATATTATGTTGAAAAGTCAAAGTATTCCACAGACTCTTGAGAGGTAGATGTTCCTAAATTCTGGTATTGCCTTGATCTAATCCTACTGTTTGGGGTTCTTCCATACATTAATCAGCCCTTTTCATTATAATCTACATTTGTTTCATTTTAAAATTTTAGCTAATTCATCTTGATTATCATTAACATTCCATGTAGTACTTGCCATATGCTAGACACCATCCTGATCACATATAATAACTCTGTCATCAATTCTTAGTGGTAAGGAAACTGAAGCTCAGTGGAATTAACTCATTCCCCAGGCAGCTTGTCTCTGGTCTCTTCTCTTGCTCTATACCATACATGACTGTACTGCCCTATCTTTTGCAAAATGCAGATCTAGGATGGGTGCCCGTTTCTTGAAGCTTCACAGGTATTGCTGCCACTCTCCACAGCCCTGGCTTACTGTGAGGCAGATCATGAGTAGCTGCCTCTAGGAGCAAGCTCCTTGTCATGTTCTAAGGCACTAGTCAGTATTTCATCTGGCATCTGAGGTGTCCTCTGTCATATCAGAGAAGTGGAATTCTTTTTTGTTTTGTTTTGTTTTTGTTTTGTTTTTTCGAGACAGGGTTTCTCTGTGTAGCCCTGACTGTCCTGGAACTCACTCTGTAGACCAGGCTGGCCTTGGACTCAGAAATCTGCCTGCCTCTGCCTCCCAAGTGCTGGGATTAAAGGCGTGCGCCACCACCGCCCAGCAAGTCATACACCATCAGATTTGTTTCAGCCTTTACTAATTAAACAAGTGAATCTCTAGTAATGAGTTCCAGGAATCTATATTTTAAAATGCATTTCCCAGGGACTTTTTTTGGAGATTTTTTTAAAAATTATGTGTCTGGGCACAAGTGCAGGTGCCCATAGAAACTAAAAGCATCAGATTCTCCCTAAAGCTGCCTGACATGGGTGCTAGGAATCAAACTAGCATCCTCTGCATCTTCTCTCCAGCACACTCCTTCCTGTATGAACAGGATGCCAGTGGAGGTAATATGACTAGTCTGAGTCAAGGATGGAGAGCCGTGGTTGTACTGCCTTCCAGGTGCTGCTAGGTTCCTCATTAAGGAGCTGTCATATCACAACCTAGAACTGGAAAGGAATCGCCTGGAGGAACTGGGAGTCAAGCGGCAGTGTGTCTGGCCTTTCATTGTTGTGATGGATGACTCCTGTGTCCTGTGGAACATTCATAGTGTTCAGGAGCAAACCAGGTAGTGGTACTTCCGAGAAGTTGTGTGTGTGTGTTTCGGGGGTGGAGGGTTATGACACAATGATCTAGATAAGATATTTTTAGCAGTAGTTACACTTGGAAAAATTAAGAGATACAGTTTTCCTGAGCAAAGTGGGTCATGAGACTACGCTCACTAGCTCACTGGTTACTTAAGAGATTTTTATTTTAAAGAGAATATATCATTAAGTTCCTGCCCCATTTCCACATCCTGGTATTGCTTAGCTGCAAAATCTGATCTGGGCCAAGTATAGTGATATATACACTTTTAGTCCCAGCACTTAGGAAGACAAAGGCAGGATGAGCTCTTTGAGTCTGAGACCAGCCCAGTTTATATAGCAAGTTCTAGGCCAGCCAGCATACATAGTAAGTCTATGTCCCCAACAAAACTGTTCTAATATTGTGATTCATTTATACAGACTCTGACATGTAAATAAGACCTAGCTCTCCTTAACTACTGATGTGAAGAGAGGAAGTTACATCACCTCTAAACCCATCAGTGGCTTTCCTAGAGCAGCGGTGACTTTCCAGGATTCCTTACAGATGCAGGCAGTGGTTAGTAAAGGGGAATGCTAAATAGTAGAAAGTGTGCTAAATTGCTGCTAAAATTCAACAGCATCTCTAACAAAACACTGACTTCACATCATTTCTTCTGTGGACTTGAAATCAGTGAAGTGTGCATAGAGTTCTTTATTATAATTATCAGAACTGGATGTCTCTGTACTGTTAACCCCTGGTCATATTGTTAGCAACTCAAGTTCATTATTCACTTTGAAATATGACTAGATTACTTCCATTTTTGCCATAAAGGTGATAAGATTCACCACCAAAGGCCAGCTTCTCTGACTTAGTCATGACAGGCAGTATGACTGGACTTAATGTAAATTATCTTATTATATCCTTTACAGGAATACATACACACACACACATACACACGCACGCGCGCGCGCACACACACACACACACACACACACACACACACACAAAGATATAGTAGTGTTGGTTCTTCATAAACTAACTTTACATTTTATAGCCAGCCTACAGAAGCAGGAATTTCCAGTAAGAATGTGTCCTTGAAGAGTGTCTTGCAGCATATTGAAGCTACACCAAAAATTATCCACTACGCAATCCTGGGCATACAGAAATGGAGCAGCAAGCTGACTTTGCAGAACCTAAAGGCCCCATTCTCAAGATGTCATGTGCATGACTTCATTCTCCTCAATATAGACCTAACTCAGAATGTACAGTATGACTTCAACAGGTAGGTCAGGCTCATGGATGCTGGTCATCTTGGCATCTTCCAGAGGGTGTTGCCCACTTCAACCTCTATATTGTTTTTATTTTGCCTTGGACAATAAGCCCCTTCCAGCTAGCTCAACGCTGGAACTCCTTATGTGGTCCAGGTTGGTCTCACATTGCAGATGACATAGAATGACCTAGACCCTTGATATTGTTATGCAAAAATAGAAAACACAGGTAAACCATCGGATTATTTATCAAGAATATAAGTAGAAACAAAATTCATTAAATCAATACTGGTCAATATGTAGACCTGTGAATGTCCAATACTAACCACATATTCATCCTCAGAACTAGGAAGGAAAATATTCTCTCCAGTGTGGTAAGGCCCACAGCCTTTCCTACAGGGAGAAGGCAGAAGGCAGGCCCCTTTAATTAATCATATCACATTCCTGAAATGGCCAAGGAATGGTATTAGAAACCACAAAGTCACTCTTACCATCCACCCTCAACCTATAGCTATTTAGAATACCTACTGCTTCATCCAGTATGTAATCAGAATTTTAAAAACACAAGACCTCTGGCTTTCCTGCTGGAACACACAGGTGTTTCTGATAGGTTACCTAAAACCCTGTAGCATAACAGACAAAATTCTTTCCTCCTCCTTTAAAGCTTATAATGCTCAACTCAGTAGAGTGAGGGCCAACTCTCTAAGGACAAATCCATGTTTTGGGCCCTCCCCTCATGTCTGTCACTCATTTCTCTGTGTAGTTATCATAGTTGAGATGTGATGGACAAACTTATCGTTGTGGTTATGATTTAGGTATTTCTGTGAAGATGTTGATTTTAACCTGAGAACAAACAGTAGTGGCCTCCTCATCTGCCGCTTTAATAACTTCAGTCTCATGAAGAAACACATTCAGGTTGGAGGACAAAGGGACTTTATCATTAAACCAAAGCTCATGGTAAGTCTTGTAATGTTTGATGCTACTGTTGAAAAGAAACACAAGTGCTTTATTATAAATAGCTTTGTCACTAAAGTATAGCATGCGAGCTTGACTGTACAGGGAAATGACCCTCGTGACAGGAAGTGGGCCTCATGTTTGCTGTGTGGCTTCATTTCTGTCAGCAAGGGCTCAGCCAGAACAAAACCTTCACTTTTGACAATTGAACAAAATTGTTCCAGAGTTAAGCCTTAAAGATTACATCAAAGCTTGCTTACTTATTTATTGGGTTTTGTTTTATTTTGAGACAGGTCTCTACTTAGCTGTCCTGAAACTTACTATTATAGTCCAGGCTGGCTCCAACTCAGATACCTGCCTGTCTCTGCCTCCCAAGTGCTAGGACTAAAGGTGTGCATCCAACTGCAAAGCTTTACTTTCAAGACAGTCTTTACATTGTGATAACTCCTATGTAACACAGGAGAAAAATACAAATAAAACTGTTTCTCTGGTCCTTAGCTTGTCTTTTAAAGAAAATACTGCAGCTCAAAGCTTGAAAAAGAGTACTGTCTATACTCTTCCCAGGGAGTCTTACTGCTAGCTGATCACTACAGCTTGTCAACTACTTAGCTCAAGCTGAGAAACGCCCAAACACTATATTCATTAAATACAGAAATATTCCAGAAATTCTTGCTGTAACTTAAAGAATATTATACTATTCCTGAAGTGGGAGAATTAAGAAATACAGAACAAAATAAGACATTTGAACCCATCAGGCAACTGCTATTAATACAGCAATCCCTCTTTAGTTGCTAGTTTTTGTAAGATACATTTTTTTTGAATGTATGAATCTACTGTATATGTGTATGTATGTGCACATGCCTGGTGCCTTTGGAGGCCAGAAGAGGGTGCTGGATCCCCTAGATCTGGAGTTATGATGGTTATGAGCTACATGTGGTTGCAGGTAACCTTGATCCTCTGCAAGAACACCTAATGCTCCTGACCACTGAGCCCACTCTCCAGTCCACAGCAGTCCTCCTTTATCTAGAGCTTACCATTGTCAACCATGGCCTGAAAATACTGTCCTTTGAGTCAAGAGACCACACACATATTTTGTGCCTAATTTAGAAATTATAATGTTTGTGTGTATAAACATTCATGTAGGGTTCGATGCTGTATAATTTCAGGTATTCTTTAGGAGTAACGTATATGAAAGTTATTAGGATGCAATCCATTATGATCTTAAGATATTTCATTCACTGACAGGCACATTTCCCATAATCATCTGATTTCAGGTTCCAGAGAACTTCGCTCCCATCCTGCCCCTTCAGTACGTCTGTGCTCCTGACAGTGAACACACACTACTGGCAGCCCCTGCACAGTTCCTCCTGGAGAAGTTCCTTCAACATGCCTCATATAAACTCTTCCCTAAAGCCATCCATAACTTCAAGAGTCCTGTGCTGGCCATTGACTGCTACCTAAACATTGGACAGGAGGTAAAGGCGGGACTGAAAAGCCTGGGTGCTATATCCATCTCTTCCGCTTTTTAGTCCCATTGAAAACTTAAGATGGATCTAAGAGAGCCAATAACAATATGATTCAAAGGGTCCCACAGGAACAGAACTAGCCAGTGACATGGTTACCTCTGGTGTCAACAGCTCTGAAGAGCCGGGCTTGATGACTTGGAAAGAAGCAGCTGCTTGCTCTACTTGCTGTGATTATGTAAATTTAGATCCGGTTCTTGCTGGCACAGTCTGTTAACATATGTAAGAGCTCAGTGATTATGGAACAAGTATAAGCTCTGTGAGACCTTCAAAGTCTTGTTTCCTTTCTTCGAGATTCTCCCTATTTTAGTCTAGCATTTTAATTGCCACTTGCACCTCTAGCTTTCTACAATTAAGTTTTTCCTTGGGAATATCTGGAGAGTATATTTTACTATCTTCAATAATGTAATATTCCCTTATAATAAATCTTTAAAAAAACAACAAAAAAATCTACAGAAGTTTGCAATATGAAACGGTTCAGTGGGTACAGGTGCTTGCTGTCAATCCTAACAAATACGATCACTTCCTGGAACCCAGATGGTGAAGAGGATGGATCCCACAAGATCCGACTTTCACATGTGCATCATGGCATATACATGATCAAAATTAAGAAAACAAAACAATAAAATAAACCACTCATAACCTGAACAAGACATTTTCCTGTCCTTGACTTGTAGACCATTTTCTTGGCACATACTGACCAACACACCATTGTCCACACAAACTCTTTTAAATCCTAGTGCATTCGATTTGGGAAGCTAAATTTAATTTAATGTTAATAATTCATGCTTTGGATTAAGCCATTAATTTTATAAATTGAAACGTTAAACCCATATGATGGATAAGCATGAAGGCACATGTCTGTGATCCCAGCATTCCAGAAGCTAGCCAGAGCTAGAGTGAATTCTGCCTTAAAACACAAGAACCAACCATGTGTCCATATAATCTCAATACCAACAGCAGCTAACATTTGCTAAATACTGCATATTAGTAATTCAAAACTACTTCAATCCGTCAGGTTTTTTTTTTAACCTATACAGATAAGGAACTATTCAGTGCCATATAACTACTAACTGAAGAAACCAGTGTTTGAATTCAAGCCAGGTTTTAAGGGGCTCCATTGTTCTCTGTATGATTCTGCTTTCTGTAATTTTTGTGGTTGTCTTCCTAGACATGGAAGCCTAAAAATTAACTCATGCTGCTTTTAGCTTCTTTCAAAGTGAAACATTCACTCTTTCCTAAGCATGCTTTTTCTTATCTGTATGTGTACCATGTGCATGCCTGGTACCCATGTATGTATACCATGTACATGCCTGGTACCCATGGAGGCCAGAAAAGGATGCCAGATCCCTCGGGACTAAAGGCACAGATGATTGTGAGCAGCCATGTGGATACTGGGAAACAAATCTGAGGCTTCTGAAAAAAACACCCAGTGCTCTAAACCACTGAGCCAACTCTCTAGCTCCAAAATGTAGGATTTTAAACACACACACCTTTTCTTAATATTTGTTGAATAGTGATTTACTATAGTAAATTAATGAGATACTTAAAAATCGGAAAAATCACTGGGCAGTGGTGGTCCATGCCTTTAATTCCAACACTTGGGAGGCAGAGGCAGGCAGATCTCTGTGAGTTCAAGGCCAGCCTGGTCTACAGAGCAAGTTCTAGGACAGTCAGGGCTATAAATAAAAACAAAACAAGACAAAATAAAACAAAAAAAACCCTCTATCTTGAAAGAAATTTAGAGAGAGAGAGACAGAGATTTGAATACTAAATTGTAAGTACAAAGCTTGAATAACCAACTCATTCATTAGTGAGAAAGATTTGGCTTCTTCACTTTGCATCCCAAACTAAAGAGGAAGGCACAGCATTCCTTACCAAAAGTATAGCCCCTTTATTTGCTTTTGAAATGTCTTTGTTTTTTCTGTTTACTACTTTCAGGTAGCCATATGCTATGTCAGTTCCAGACCCCACTCCAACAATGTCAATTGTGAAGGGGTGTTTTTCAGTGGACTCCTCCTGTATCTCTGTGACTCTTTTGTAGGTGCTGATCTTCTCAAGAAATTTAAATTTCTAAAAGGTAAGTTAATTGTCTTGAATGTAAATGCTATCCTCTCTCTCTCTCTCTCACACACACACACACACAAATGAAGAGTTGAATACCACACAAGCAAGCAAAGTTTGGCTCAGTAATTTGGATAAGTTGATTCTATCTACTAATGTTACTGGGGAAGAGCATGCTCTGTTATCGTAAGACTAAATAAAGTGCAGGTGAATAATAAGATCTATGACTTTAAAAGACAGGTTTTATGTGTAGGTATGTGTCCAAGTGCCTGCAGAGGCCAGAGGGTGTCAGACACCTTGGAACTTAAAGTTGTAAGTCATCTGATGTGGATGCTGGGAATTGAACTTGGGTCCTCTGCAAGAGGTAGAAAGGCTCTTAACTACTGAGCCAAGTTTCCAGCCACTGTGACTTCTTAAACAGGCTTTTACTGTTATTTATTCTAGAAACACATGCTTCTGATACCTAGTTAAGACAGAAGCTAGCTTGATTCTACTTATGCATGTTTATAAGTAGTATATACAATCTAATATTTGATTGGATCAGAAACCAACTGCAGAAAATTACATAATTGTACCTCCTAGATATTCTATGAGTCTGGCACAGAAATTAAAGTTGTCTTAATATATGCCTCATAAAAAAGGTACAACTTACCTAAGAATAATCTGTAAATCCAGCATCACAAATAATCCTGACAGTAAAAGTGACACTCTAAACACTCTAAATGTGACACTCTAAATGGGGTTTTCGTTGTGTGTATCTAGCAGAGTGGTTCTCAAGTAAAAGGGAATGTGCCTCAAGAGACTTTTGGTTGTCACTGTATGTGTATGGGAGGTGGGTATTTAGCAAACAGTGGGCGGGAAGCTAGGGATATGCTAAATATTCCACAGGGCACAGAGGAGCACCCAACACACAACAAAGTGCTAAGGTTGAGAGAGACCCTGTTCTAGAAAAAAGATAAAAGAAACACTTTTCATCAGTCACTAAAGGATGGGAGGGCTGTAGCTGAAAGAAATCTCCCTCTATAATCACTTCATGCTCCTTGAAACGTTTGCAAAATTACTTGAGATAAAATGAAGTATCTAGAGGCTGGAGAGATATCTCAGGGTTAAGAGTACTGGCTGTTCTTCCAGAAGTCCTGAGTTCAATTTCCAACAACCACATGGCAGTTAGCAACCATCTATAAAGGAATCTGATGCCCTCTACTAACATGCAGGCATACATGCAGACAGAGCACTTATATAAGAAAGAAAGGAAGGAAGGAAGAAAGAGGGGGGGGAGAGAGGAAGGAAGAAGGAGAGAGAAAGAAAAAGAAAGAAAAGAAAGGAAGGAAGGAAGGAGAGAGAGAGAGAGAGAGAGAGAGAGAGAGAGAGAGAGAGAGAGAGAGAGACAGAGAGAGAGAGAAA